CGCCTGCGCACGCTCCGGGCCCTGCGCCGCCCTTGGGGAGACGCCGGCGGCTGGGACCGCGAGCCGCCGCCGCCGCCGCCGCCGCTGGCGCTGGTAAGTCCGGGCGCGCCTAGGCGTGGGCACCGGGGCGGGACCACAGACAGCAGCAAGTCTGCGATCACAGACCCTGTTTACTGTTTATCCGTTCCCTCCCCAGCCGATCTCAGAATCAAAGCTAACTTCTGCTCCGAAGGGCAGCAGTGGTGACAGTGGCCCGGGAACACTCGCGATTCAAAGCCGTCAGAAACTGGGCGGGAAGGCGACTCTTTTTTTCAAAAAAGCTTTAAGATTGACATAAAACTCTGTGCACTTGGCTCGCTTTCCAAGCAGCGTTCAGGATGCTTGGCTGTTGCGGAGGGAAGGAACCGCTCCTGTCACTGATCCTAAAGAAAGGTTGAGCAAGGTCACCCAGAAAACACGCGGGCACAGCTGGCCTCTAGGAAGGCTAGGACGCCTGGGTAGTCTGGCTCAACCGCTACAGACCTCAGAAGAACGCCGCCTCTTCAGTGGTGGAGTCCCAATTGTCTCTGACTTGTCTTATTGCTGATGATGACAACCAACTCCTAAGTGAGCAGAAGGCTCTGCATGTCAGATAAAGAATCATATCCTCTCCTAAGCCAGCTTCCTCGCCTTTAAAGGTTGTTATAAGATTAAATGAGAGGTGGGGGGGGCGGGGGTGGTGGCTCACGCCTATAATCCCACCACTTTGGGAGGCCGAGGTGAGAGGATTGCCTGAGCCCACGGATTCGAGCCAGCCTGGGCAACTTGGCGAGACCTCATCTCTCCAATAAATCAAAAAATTAGTTGGGCGTGGTGGCGCACGCCTGTAGTTGCAGCTACTTGGAAGGCTGAGGCAGAAGGATCGCCTGAACCCAGCAGGTCGAGGCTGCCACTGCATTCCAACCTGGGCGACAGAGTGAGACTCTGACTCAAAAAAAAAAAAAGACTAAATGAGATACCATAAGGAACATTTAATGCAATACCTAAAACATAGTATTAGATAAATATTGCCTGTGCTCGTATCCCTTATGTTTTGATGTATTCAGTTAATATTGATTAAGCCCCAGCAATTTGCCAGGCATAATTGGTCACTGATGATATACATACAAGTAAGAAGCAATCCTTTCTCTGAAGAAACTCACAGTCTAGTGTGGGAGAACGGGGTGTTAGAAGACAAAATTAAAGCAAATGTACTTTAAAGATCTTAATTAGCTTTTATTTGCAATTCTGGAATCTGGCAACACCTCATTCTATACAACAGAGAAACGATTCTCATGAGCTGTGCAGAGAAGATTAGCTTTATAGACAGAAAGGAGCTGAAGAAAGCAAACAGATCAAAAAGCAGACTAGTCTTTTCCAAGTTACTTTCCTTGTAAAGGTTAAAGCAGAAACTTTCTTATCATGCCAGCTAAAACTGACTCATTTGGGGATTTGGCTATTACCTCTCCCTCCTGATTTTTGACATCAGGTAATTTAGTTTCAGCATGGTAGTGTGGATCTTCAAAGTGTGTAACTCTATTTTGGTTTGGCTTTTTGGGCCTAGTGCAGAAGCTCAGACCAAACCACTGGTCTCCTGTAAATGCTATTGAACATTTTCCCACTTTGGGTCAGGCTTTCACCTAGGTGAGAGTATGACCAAAATTTAGGGCATCAGGACCACTCTGGATCACCATCATTTTCAGTTTTTGGTCTCAACACTTCATTCATAGATTACAGCGTCCTCATGATGATGCATTTCTTGGAGTTTTTATCATTCCAGCCAAAGCGACCACTTAGTTTTAGCAGATAGCTGCATATAGACATTTAAGACTTTTGGCGACGATACAGCGCACCACAGAGACTGCTGTTATGATAGGAGGATAATATCCAGACTTTGAAGGGTACTCCTCAGCCTGCCAACTAGCCTGTTTATTAATTTTTTGCAACTGAGTCTCTGTAATACTTGATATATCTATCCATGTGAAAAAAGAAGTGTCAGCAACTACATAGACTTCTCCCTTTTCAGCTAGTCGGTAGCAGTTCTATTATCTAGTACTCTATGACTGGGCTAAATTAAAGCAGAGGGTGACTACAAGTGGGTTTAGAAATCTGACTCTATAAAAGAGCACTAGTGTAATTTAAACAATTCAGCACTAAGGATATTGCTAAAGTTGTCAACTGGGTGAACTAAAGGATCTCTTGGGTTATGTAAAAATCTATTTTTTTAATGGCATATCCAGCATTTCATAAAGTTACCCACAGAAGCTAATGATTGTGAAATTCTAATTATAGCATATTTTGCCAGACAGAACGGGTAGACATAAGCAAGGACAAATTAAGAAGGGTAAGACTCATTATGATAGGGAGTCTTATCCCAGCATTTTGGGAAAAGCTGTCCATAGCATGAAGTCATCAACTTCTTGTCATGGTTTGTAGTTTGTATGTCTCTGGTGACATTGGGTGTTTTGGTGAACTTTCGGTGTGGCCCACACATCAGGCATTGTTCCTTGAAATTTACATTATGTTGTCCAGTTTCAGCTCTAGGGCTGAAGGAACAGAGCAGTTCCTGTTCTTAGTTAGAGAATCGTAGTCAGATATTGGAGGAAAATAGAAGAATTCAGGATCCAGTCAAGTCTACGGGCAGATAATAAAAACAGGGGAAAAAAAGAACAGGGCTACAATCTAATAACAGGTGTACTGTAGTTTTTCTACAGAAACATATTTGTTCACTTATAGTCACCCTCATTTCTCTCAAAGATAATCAAAGTCTCATTTGTTTACATAATAAGTTTAGTCTCATCAAATTTGGCCTGATGATTTATGTAAATGCAGCAAGAGGAGTGATTGACCACATGGACTCTTTTTAAGGTTGCTTTGCTGGACCTTTTGATAAGGAATTTCAGATGAGACTTCTAAAAACCTCTTGAGGCTAGGAAGCCAAACAAAAGCGAACTTCAGACTTTCCTGCAATACCTATAGATTCATTTTATTTACCTTCTCAAATATGACATCCTAGTCAGAGCCTTGGTAATAAAACCAGTATTTCCAATTATATTCTGTTATAAAGAGAACAGATTCTTACTAAACTTATTCAGATAACTGTATTCCCATAAAAATAAAAATACTCACAAATAGTTTTTGAATTTTGGAGGGATCAGGTAGGAAGAAAAAGTAGATGCTTCAATTTTTGTTCATACTTTATGCTTTAGTAAAGTATACTTTACCAAATTACCATCAACTGTAGATAGCTTAAAAGAAGAAACATTTTCTTAAATCTGGAAAACAAATCATCAAAAGAACCAGCAACATTTCAAATACACAGGTTGTAAAAACTCATAACTCTTTTATCAGTTCATTCAGTTGTATGTAATTAATTCTTGTTCTTGGTTAGCAGTTTTGTGACTCCATTAGTTTCTTCATTAGAGTCTGGAAATTCTTACCTAGTCCAGCAGTATGATCTCAAACTTATCAGAAACCGGTACTTGTCAGCATTCTTTCATTTTCAAAGTGTTTGAAAATGAAACACTTTAGGATTATAGTTGCTAGTAAAAAACTTTTAGAAAAACATTAGAATAAAGCCATTATCTATGGACAACAGACTTAAAATGGGCCAGACTCAGTGGTTCAGCCTGTAATCCCAGCACTTTGGGAGACCAAGGCGAGTGGATTGCCTGAGCCTGCGGGTTTGAGACCTTATCTCTACAGTAAATAAATAAGTAAATAGCCGGGTATGATAGCTTGCGCCTGTAATTCCAGCTACTTGTAAGGCTGAGGCAGAAGGATCCCCGGAGCCAGCAGGTCGACGCTGGGGTGACAGCGAGCGTGCCATTGCACTCCAGCCTGGGCGACAGAGTGAGGCTCTAACTCAAAGAAAAAAGACTTAAAATGACCATGGTTAAAGATCTGATGAGAGTTCATTATAATAATGACATAATTGACAGACTTGGTTATTTCTGTGACACAACATTTTAACATAAATACTGAAATTTTGGCCGGGCTTGGTGGCTCAGCCTGTAACCCTAGCACTTTGGGAGGCGGAGAAGAGTGGATTGCCTGAGCCCGCGGGTTCGAGACCTGCCCAGGCAACTTGGTGAGACCTCGTCTCTACAATAAATCAGAAATTAACCGGGCATGGTAGCGTGTGCCTGTAGTTGCTGCTACTTGGAAGGCTGAGACGGAAGGATCGCCGAAGCCCAGCAGGTTGAGGCTGTGGTGGCCAGGAGTGTGCCACTGCACTCCAGTCTGGGCAACAGAGTGAGACTCCAATTTAAAAAAAAAAACAAAAAACACTGAAATTTTTACCTAGAACATATTTCTAGGAATTTCATACATTTTGTAGAACACATATTAATAACATATCTGTACAAATATAACTCAATGAAGGTTAAACATCATTTCATATTTGATAATGCTTCCCATGTAACTAATATGCCAAATAAGCCTAATTAGTTCAGTATAGCTCCCTTAATTTAGTATAGCTTCCAGACCTCTGGAACATCCCAAAATTAGTTTGAGGTTAAAAAGATTTAATTTAGGATTTGATTTTGAGAAGTTTGTCAAAAATATAAAGATTTTAAACACTTGATCAAAGTAGGATTACAAGACACTGTGAAGTAACAGTCATTCATTTAACCAGAGTGATAATTAAAGGAACCAACCGTGCTGCCCATCGATAGAGGACTGGGTTAAAAAAATGTGGTACATATACATGATGGAATATTATGCAACCATAAATAAGAACTAAATTATGAACTTTGCAGCAACTTGGATGGACTTAGAGGCTATAATACTGAGTCATCTATCACAGAAACAAAGGACTGAGTACCACATGTTCTCACTCATAAACGAACCTTGAACAATTATTATAATACTGTAAGAAGGGGATTGGCAGTAATATTGGAAACGATCAGGAGAGAGGGGAGTGGGATTGGCAGTAGTGGGAAACTGCTGGAGGGGAGGCATACCTCATCAACAAGGGTACCTGCATAATGAACATTTGTATACCTAACCCTGACTTGTACCCTACATCTTTAAAATAAAAAATTTTTAAAAGAATGACTTCAAAAGGCAAATGC